TTCAAATGAACGAAAATCAAATAATAAAAAAAAACATCGAAACATATCTTAAAACTTTATCGGTCACGATAGTTTCTTTTCAATTGAAAACATAGTTTAAAATTTCAATATTTGACCTAAATGATTAAAAAAATTATTTTATTACTTAATTCACTATATGGCCTTTAGTTTTCTATTTTTTTGTCCTCCAACGATTAAGATAATAAAAAAAATATTTGTCTTTTTACCTTTTCTTTTATAATTTGGCCCACATAGCCATAAGTTTCTCCATACAATTCTTCTTCCCCACATTAAACTAACATAATCTATATAATATATTTTTGTACAAAAATTATGGACCCAATACACTTGTTTCATCAAAATATGTCCAAGGTCGGGCCTGTATATGCGCGATTGTCTTGATGTTTAGCAATTACCTAAAGTTGTTCGATGATATCATGAACTATTTAAGGAGTTTAAGGCCTTAGGTACAAAGCCTTCTCTTTCGATTTATGCTGCACTCAAACCGATGGAAAAAATCATTCAAAGAGCTTTAAAGGAATGGAAACAATTCAGGTCTGAAGCGCCTTATGGTGCGACTTATGGTGCGACTTATGCTGCACTCAAACAGATGAAATTTTTTAGAGATGTCTGATTCGGTTGCAACTTCTTTAAATGAGATTCTAGAGATTGCTTGAAACAAATCTAGGGCCGCTTGGTAACGACTGTTACCGTAAATTTTTACTTTAGACTTTTGGTTACAGAGATTTTAGCTGTAAATGTTTACTAAAAATACGAATAAAAGTCTGATTGGTAAAAAAACTGTAGAAACTGTAATTATCCTCTATATATTAATAGAGGTGACACTAAGTGAAAATCCTAGATGTCATCCAGAGAGGGTTTTAAGAAACTTTTAAAGAAAGCTATTAAATTTTCTTAATAACATTGTTGTGTAAATAATTAGACTAAATTTATATCACATATACAATATATAACTATTAAACAAATATGGAAGCAAATAATATGTGGTAGTTAATATGGAAGATTTTATTTAATAAATATAAAGTATATGTGAGAATATTTTTTTTCAATGACTATTAGATTTTTTTGATATACGGGGTTAAAAAAAGAATATTAAAAAAAAAATTCATGATTTTTTAATTATGGTAGAAATTAAAAATAACAAAGATATATCTCCAGTATAGATATATATATTGATAAGTATATTTTATCTAACAAAATTTAATTTGTATGATATTTAGACTAAATGCAGATAATTTTTTAGAAATGCCATTTTTCAAAAATGTCATCATTTTGAATTTTTTTTAAAATGTCACTAATCCTCTATATAATAACTGAATAGACATTTGGTGAAAAAATCATATGTATTATTCAATGAAGGTTTTAAGGAATATGTCAATTAAATTAACTAATGAAAATATTTTAATTAAAGCTATATGCTATGGTGGAAATCTCTATATGTTTTTATTAATTTTATAATATAAATCGATTAATATATATTTTACAGAGTTAAGTTTAACTAAATGTAATATTTAGACTTACTATAACATCTATTTATTTTTTTAAATTGATATATTAAAAAAAATTTTATTATTACATTTTTAACAATATTATTTATTTGTAGATGATAACTACACTTACAAATATTTTTATATTTTATTATTAGAAAACATATATTTTTTGTTTGTTACGTCCGACAAATTTATATAAATCTAAAATTCGTTTGATTTATCGCATACTCTACTATTTACACAAATAATAAAACTCAATTTGACACTACAAATAAATTGAAAAAATAACATTTGCATTAGTTTTTATATTTTATGCAAAATTGATCAAAACATATTACATTGAAATATGTTTAATAAAAATTTAATTTTATTACATTTATGCACAATACATATAATTTTGTACGTTTCTAAATATTAGAATACACATCTAAATATTAAGATCAATTAGAAAATATATTTTAATATTTAACTCCACGTTTGACGTGGGTCAAAATCTAGTTATTTTAATAATTATAGATAAAATTTTGGCAAAATTATAAAATACAATTCTCGTAAAAATATATATGAAAAATGGATCTCAAAACAAAAGGAAAAAAAATAATAGTAATTAATATATCAAAATCTATTTGTAATAATTTATACATATGTTTATAAAAGGTTTTTAAGAAAGGGACAATTACAAAAATGCCACTTTTTGTGTGCATATTTGCAAGAATGCCATTTAGGGGTATTCATTTACAAAAATGCCACTAATTATAGATTTATAAAGCCTATATCTTAAAATTCTAAACCCTAAAAAATGTTTTGACACCTAAAACCCCCTAAACACTCAAAACTAAAACCTAATAGATCATAATTAACCGAAACATAAATAATATAAAAAAAATAATTTTGAAAAAGTGGCATTTTTGTAAAGATTTCAAAAGTGCGACATTTTTGTAAAGTGACACTTGAAAAGTGGCATTTTNTGAAATTTCTCTTTAATAAATTTGGAGAAGAAGAAAGAGAAAAATGTTATGAGAT